TCTCTATTGAACACAGAAATCGCATAACCGGCTACTCTAAAACGTCACTGAGAAATCAAACGAAAAGAAGAGAAAAAAAGAAAAACGAAACTCTCTCATCCCTCTTTCTCTCACGCATACTCTTCCTCTCTCTCTCTATTTTTCCCATTCTCTCCTTCTCCCTCTCTCTCTTCTTTCTCTCTCAAGTTGAATTTACAAGAAACTGAAAGGAAAAAGTTTCGAGTCGAATCATCGTACAGGTTCCCTTCAAAATCGGCAATCCGAAAGAGATGGAAAACATGGAACAGAAAGAACGAGTTCACTTCATTCACTAACATTTTCATCTCGCTCGATCCATCGTCATTTTTCCCATTTTTCTTCTTTTCTTCTTCTTTGAGAAGAAAGAGAAACCCACTAAACTCGACGATCGTTTCCCCTCCCCCGAGAACAGTTTACCTTCTTCTCGTGCGATCTCCGTGTAACCTCGACTTCTTTTGCAACACGCGTTCTTCTCTCGAGCAAAACTCGTCACACCTATAATTAATGGTAATACGACCGTTAACGTATATGTACAATCTTATATAGCTTTCGAGCGATACGGGAAAACTCCTATCTTTCTTTTCTTCTTCTTCATCCGCTCGCAAAAATTACTCCATTTCCCTCTTCTTCTGTTTCTTTTTTCTCGTTTTCTTCGCCGTTTTCTTCTCGTCACTCCCTCCGTTTAGACTTAATTATCGCATCTCGATGAAGGTCTCTTCCGACCCCAGGTTTCGACGAATGCCAGTGGCAGACTCGAATCGCCGCCAAACGAATCGGCTAGGACGATAGAGGCGAAAAGTCACTTGGAATTCGAACGATCCAAAGATAATCTCCGATGTCGTTTCTCCATCTACAGAGTTTCTTTTTATTCTCTTTTAGACGAGATTAACTCTTTGCTTAAATTAGCAGATCTGCCATATATTTACAGACGTCGAGATTCTTCTATTTTGTCGCTCCGCCCAGCGTTCGCACGTCGCCATTTTTCTCTCTCTCTTTCTCTTCCCTTTTTACGTCTACGTAGAAATATATGTACCTTTTGTTCGCGAAAGATCGAATCGCGATGGTGAGGACAGGGGTGTATTTATAATTCCTATCAGACGACTAAATGTTACTTCGAATCGAGAGGAAACTCTTCTCTTCCTTCACCTCCTTCTTCTTCGTCCTTTTTTTCTTCCAAAAATTTTCTCCAGCATTTTTCGGTCAAGTGTAAAAATAGATACTTTATCGCCTCCCAATATACCATTTTCTTCTTCTTCTTCGTCATCATCGTCGTTTTCATTTTCTTGCCTTTTCGCAATCTAAAACCGCGACGAGTTTCCTTTTCTTCGCAAAATTGTCCAGGAAATGTTCTAACAACGTCCAAGTACTTGTATTCCTTCATTTTTCACCCCCTATATTTAATCGTTTACATTTAAATTGGACAACAAGTGACGAGATTTTATTGCTGAGAGTGATACAGTAACAACAGACGATGATCAATGTGATTTTTATCGATCACGAAACCTCGGAGGAACAGGCTTGGAAAGCTTCCGACGAATCTCTTCCTCTTCGCTTCAACTTTCTAATCGATTTCGTCCAACTTAAAAAGATCCTTTCGTTCGTAAAATTCGACGAGGGGCGCGAAAAAGGGGAAAGCAACGGGAACGTACGAGCGTATCCTCGCGGTGATAAAATACCCCCTTTTGAAAAAAAAAAGACGTGGAAAATTCGCGCGTTCCTCGAGTTTCTTCGCGATCTAACTCGGCGAAATCACGTCGACATCGACAACATGACGGATCTACGAGATTGATAATATAGCAATTAGGGCCGTTCGAGGCGAATCGTTCCACGTATACGAATTTTCCATCAGACTCGCCTCGTTTCTTCTTCTTCGCTCGGAAAAATTCGAGTCACGCGAGTGGAGCAAAGGAAATCTAGCGATTCTACGTTATCGATTCCTCCTCTTCCTTCTTTCTTTACAGTCAGACACAGGGAAGATGTTTCCAGCCGTTGATCGAACACCTCTGCGCGTTTGTCTCTACGTGAGAAAATGGGCTCGTTAATCGCTAGCATCGTTTTCTAAACGCTAAGTAGGCTAGTGAGGTCATCTACGCCTATGAATAATCCCTATTTAATCGTCAACATGCACACACGCGTACACTCTTCGCACGCAAGAAGTTGGGCCTAGAGATTTATCTCATTTTTCTCCCTTTTTCACCACTCTTCAACCACCGTGTGCAATCGTGGGCTTCGTATTTATATATGTACATTACGGGGCGGTGAAACGGAAATTGTATTCGAGTCTCGCCTAAACGCCCCATTATTTCTCTACGATCTCAAAACTTTCTCTCTACACGTCGAATTTTCCTAATTCGCTGAAAACGGACAGCACGACGAACGAGAACGGAAACCGTGAAAATAACGTTTCTACGATTCTTCTACTCCGCCTTTCCGAATGCACCGAGCGACAAATGGAAACTTTGGCGACAAAGTCTCTTGAAATTCAACGCTGAATTCGCTCTTACTCGCGCGGGGAAATTCGGAAGACCACGGTCGAATAGGATAATATTTCGAACGGTGTCGATTTTCTACGCGCGATAAGATCAAGAAAGATAGCCTAATTCGAAAGAATCGGAGCACAGAGAGGAACGTGTAAGTTTACTTTGATCTCGAAACGAAAGACTATTTTCTCTTTTTCCCCGATCGATCCGCGCCGAGCCACGAGAGCGGAACCGGAAGTGGAGAACCGCACCGTCGTACGAACAGCGAAAACGCTTCGACGCCGCAACAGGACAGTCCCGCAGTTGACGAATCGAAGTGGATGGAATTTTGCGAGAGTCAAGGCTCGATTTTTCTTACAAAAGCAAATTTAGAGAGTGGGAGAGAAAACGAAGACGGAAAGTTTCATCGTTCTCTGTTTATCCAGGAGAGACTATTCTCTCTCTTTCTAAAAAAAAAAAAACAACTCGAGGAAACGACGACAACCAAAAGTTCATCTCTACTTTCCACTTTGCAACGAATTGTTTTTCTCTTCGTTGCGTGTAACAATAGCACGTGAAGATGGTAATCGTGATAATCGATCGAAGCTTACATAAATATAATCTCTCTCGATGATATAATATCCGAGGGAACACAAGCGTTCGAAAGATTATCGGTAACAAGTTTTAATTAG